TTTGCAGGGGGGGGGGGGGTCGCCATCGTTGTGCCCGTGGGTGCCATTTGTGCCCGCTGACACCTTTCCTGGGGCTCGCCAAGTGTTTTAGAACGTGGGCGTTTGTTGCAGTGGTTTCATGGCTGTTACCCATAATGACTAAACAGAATTAGAACTCATCTCCAGACTACAGAGATCAGTTCCTTGGGGAAAAGGCTGCTATGGAGGGTGAACCATGTGGAATTCACCCCTCTGGGGTTTCTCCCTTACTCAGGCTCGGAAATCTCCAGGAATTTCCCAAACCAGAGCTGACAACTCCATTCAATAGATCCTCCATGTTCAGAGGTAGTGTACCTCTAAGTGCCAGTTGCTGATGGAGAAGAATGGGGAGGGGAGCTCTGCCTCCTGGAAACCTGGATGGCTGCCGTGCCAAGCAGGATGCTGGACTCGATGGACCTTCAGTCTGTTTTTGCAGAGCTCTACTGGTGATCTTAACGAGAGCCAGACGGAATGGAGGGAGTGGGGAAGGATCAGTTCCAGGCACTAGACATGAGTGAGATCATGATTCGAAGCCTCCAGTTTTGTGATTGTAATTACAAGATTATATTGTAATAAAGCAGTGGACTGTTGGTTCTTTTCATGACTGTACTTTAGAATAATGACCCCACATTCTGTCTGCCTGTCAGATTTTGATCCTGCCCTTCCTTCAAGGAGCTCAAGGGAGCATACATAGCTTCCCCCCCATTTCATCCTCACAACGACCCTGTGAGGTAAATGGGGTGGAGAGAGCAGGCCCGAGGTTGCTGTAACGGACAGGTGAAAGGCCCACCCTTTCACTGCAAATTGTAAAATCACCCTTTTAGACTTGATTTGTAATGTTTGGGGGAACTAATAACAACCAATCCGTGCCCTTTTGAACCTTGACAGAGCAGAAGGGAGGTGGGAGATGGAGCAAAATGCAGTTAAAATTCAATTAAACGGTCATTTTAGGTCAGACTGACTCGAGCAAAATCCCATTGGTTACCTCACGAGCAGATGCTTTCACACTGCAAGAACCCATGCACTCACACTAAAAATAAATCCATTTGATCCCTTGCTTGGGTTTGAGTTCACCCCAGTTAGGCTGAGGGTGAGGACATAAGAACATAAGAGACACCAATGTTGGATCAGGCCAAAGGCCCATCCAGTCCAACACTCTGTATCACACAGTGGCCAGAAATACCAGGTGCCATCAGGAGGTCCACCAGTGCGGCCAGGACATTAGAAGCCCTCCCACTGTTGACCCCCCCCTTTTACAATTCAAATAATAATTCTAATTCAAATATTTCAATAATTCAAATAATTCAATAATTCAAATAATAATAATACCTGCCCCATGCTACCTGGTCATCTGTCTGTTTACTTATATATCCTACCCAAGTCTTTCAACTAGCCAAAACTATGTATTTTTGAATTTCTTGCATTGTATAGGGAGTTGGACTAGATGTCCCTGGAAGTCCCTTCTAACTCTATGATGCTCTTATTCTGAGACAGGTCTCCACAGTCACCCAGTGTGCTTCAGGACTGAGTGAGGATTCCAGATCCTAACTGCTGTACCACAGTGGTATCAGGGGAAGTCATATTTTTTTTTTAGTCAGTGGATTTATTCTTTCAGCAGCGATAGTGAGTTACATAAGCCAGGGTCTAAAGCAAATTACCCCCCCCCCACACACACATATATATTTATTTAAAACATTTTTATGCTGCCTTTCCACCTGATCAGGGTCCCCAAGGTTGGTACACACAAAAACATTACAACATACGAACAGTTAAAAATGACCTTAGAATTGTGATTTTGAAAACCTGAAGTGACTTGGAAGGTGTTGTGTTTTCCTTCATGTTCTCTTAAATGTGTTCTTAATCTAAAAAACCTGTTTTCTTTCTCTTTCCTCATTAGACACTCCTTTGTGTTCATATCAGGCCTCCGTATGATGACATAGCATTTGGAAAGGAAGACAAAGACCAGTAAGCCAGCACCAGAGGCCAAAATGGAGAAGACCTGCACAGCTGCCATATATTTCCTTTTGTGCTGAGGTAGGTTGGGCACAAAGGACACCCAGAGGCTGCAGCAGAAGACCAGCATGCTGAAGGAGATCAGCTTGACTTCACTGACAGATCCAGGCAGCTTCCTGGCCAGGAAAGCCCACTGTGAAGGAGGTGGCAGCCAGGAAGCCCATGCGTCCCAAGTGCCATGCAGAACATGGCAACAGACCCTTCATTGCACTGCAGTATGATCTGTCCAGGCTGGGAAGATAAGTCAGAGACTGGAAAGCAGAGTGGAGATTAGCAGCCAGATAGTGCAAATGGAGGCGTGAAGGCCAAAACAGGAAACGACAGTTCAGTTTGCCAACCTCTTCCCCAGCCATTTCTTCATCGTGTTCCCTGGCTTTATTGGCCATGATGGCTTTGGCCAAAAGAGAAGAGGTATCATTTTTTAATTTTCTGCTTGCCCATTGTTGGTGGGCAAGGTTTATTAGTTTTTTTAAAGAGTTATATAAAACAAAAAAAAGAGAGCCATACACTTCAAAGGTATCCAGCCATTGCCTCGTTCATAACATCTTTAGAGACATAATTCCCCTTTTCCCTTTGTTAATCTATAGTCCACAACAGATGACATTAAGTAAAATTCCCAATAAACAATTCATTTTTTTCTATATCCTACCTGCTATTACTATTATTAATCAGTTTTATAACAATAAAAATATAAAAGAAAAAAAAAACACACAGGTATATCACAGCTGTTGGACAGTTCAAATTTCTTATATAATATCAATCTAGTCCCTTTAAGATATTCTTTCAAAATTTCAAAAAGTATCGTTAGCTTTCAAAATCCCCGTTTGCAAACCTAAACGTAGTAATTTATATTTTCTCCATAACATCAGCTCTCAACTTTACAATGCCAATATACTTTCCCCTCACACTATATAGATCTCTCTTTTCTCTCACAACACTTAGGGTCATTACACCTCTAGGTAATTAGCCCATTACTTTTGTTTTTTCCCTACAAGGCCCACTTTAAGAGTTATTAAGAGTTAATGCTCTACCTGATGGTTGATAAAAATTAAAGGGTAGTTTTGACTCTTAGAGAAGAGATATCAGTGGCGAAGATGGTGCTGAAGGCCGTCTGCTGGAGGAGGCCAGTCACCTTCCCAGGCTGGCCAACAAAGAGGAAAGAGGAGAGGAAGCCGAGCAGGGGGGAAGATGAGAAGAATGTAGGTGAGATCTCAGTTGTTGGCCTTGTCTATTGGACTTCCCCAGAACTTAAGGAAGATTCCAGAAACAGCACCTGCTGTCAGAAGCAAGAGTAGTTCCAAAAAAAAAGCCAAGATGGTCCCCAAAGGATCTTCATACGAACGGAAGATGATCTTGGGAACACATTGATCCTTGTCCTCATCGGAAGGCTGATCTTCTGGACACTTGTTACAATGACCTGAATCTAAAAAAATAATTACTTAATTCAGTCAAAAACCTCCTGGTTGTAACGTGATCACCCTCTAACCCTGCCCTCCCCCCATTTTTACTATTTGTTCTGTTAAGAACGTAAGAGAAGCCATGTTGGATCCAACCAGTGGCCCATCCAGTCCAGCACTCTGTGTCAGACAGTGGCCAAAACATAGGTGCCATCAGGGGGTCCACCAGCAAGGCCAGAACTCTCAGAAGCCCTCCCACTGTTGCCACCCGAAGCATCAAGGATACAGAGCATCCCTGCCCCAGACAGAGTGTTCCATCTATGTTAATTCTCTCTGAATCCATCATGGTTTTCTCCAGCACTCTGTCAAGCAACGTTCTTGTTTTGCCGAGGCTTTCCACCCCTCTTTCTATCTTTCTAATGTTTTCTGCTGCTTTTGCATTATGTCGTTATCCTGCCCATGGAGGCTGTGGGTTTTATTGGCTGCCGGAGTGCTTTGCTGTTTTGGCTAGTTTCGTTTTGATTTTAAATTCTGTCTGAATCCATCATGGTTTTCTCCAGCATTCTGTCAAGCAACATTTTTGTCTTGCCGAGGCTTTCCATCCCTCTTTCTATCTTTCTAATGTTTTCTGCCGCTTTTGCATTATGTCGTTATCCTGCCCATGGAGGCTGTGGGTTTTATTGGCTGCCGGAGTGCTTTGCTGTTTTGGCTAGTTTCATTTTGATTTGACTGCTTTAAACTTAATGTGAATGGTTTTAATCTATTTTTGTAAGCTGCCTCAAGCAGTTCGTAGGAAATGAGGCGTACAGATTTTATAAAAAACCAAACGTACATAAATGGCTGTCCTTTCCTCTCTGTTTCCCTTCCCCAACAATCCTGTAAGGTGGGTTAGGCTGAGAGAGAGAAGAGCCCGCCCAAGGCCATACAACATGCTTTATACTGCATGGTCGGTGGGTGGGTGGCTTGGACAATAATCTTTCAGTCCATGCTGATACTCTGATCATTACACCACACTGAGTATTGAAGTATAACCATCTGGGGGTCCATCTGTTCTGATATCCAGAATACAGAGTACAGAACTGTGCCCCAGTAACAGGAGCCAATGAGAGCAGCGCTCTGACCCAGCCAATAAAAGGTCAGTTCTGAGAAACAATAAAGATCTGACAGAGGGAGGTTTAGTCAGGCTTTGAGAGTTCTAGTTTGTGGGTTGTGATGGGGTTAGTTTACCAGGAGTGTGAATTTCATGATCTGTGGAGATATCAGATCTATGGTTAACTCTCTCTGGGTAAGTGAGTGTACAAAGGTGTTCCAATATGCCATCAGGATTAGCCGGGCCTGGCTCGCAATTGAGTTGCCTCAGAGTGCTGTGTTTCTTTGCACAGACCTAGAAGTTGCTGTCATTGAAGCATAACCAACTGGGGGTCCATCTGTTCTGATATACAGAATACAGAGTACAGAAATGTGCCCCTGTAACAGGAGCCAATGAGAGCAGTGCTCTGACCCAGCCAATAAAAGGTCAGTTCTGAGAAACCGTGAAGATCTGACAGAGGGAGGTTTAGTCAGGCTTTGAGAGTTCTAGTTGGTGGGTTGTGAGGGGATTAGTTTACCACGAGTGTGAATTTCATGATCTGTGGAGTTATCAGGTCTATGGTTAACTCCCTCTGGGTGAGTGTACAATGGTGTTTCAATATGCCATCAGGATTAGCCGGCCCTGGCTCGCAATTGTGTTGCCTCAGAGTGCTGTATTTCTTTGCACAGACCTAGAAGTTGCTGTCAATTTTATACAAACTGGCTTGAACAGAATACTATATAATCTGTCATTCCCAAAGCATACCTCTGTCTCAAACATTTCCTAAACTGCAGCCTACACTCCCTGGAATTCGTCATATTAATTGCTGTAGGGGCGTAACTCTGGTGACCATCTAAGTGGTCTCAGAGTTTTTTCTCCTTGCAATAAATCAAATGATGGTCCAGATGACAACAAATATTCTGGTGAGAGTAAGATAACATATTGCAAAGGAAAACGATCACCTCCATAATAAAGAGTGCTGCATTTATGTTACCTAAATCTGCCTGAGAGGGTGCGGTCAGACGGCGTGCTGGGATCGGGTTAAACTGCTCTGGTTCTAACCGAATTATATTTGAACTGGATAATCACGATCACACTTACCTCCCTTATCCCGCCTCACCGCGCAGTCACGTCACACCCCAACGTCTACACTACTGACGTGCAAACGCGCGAAAGTGTATGTCGGCAGGTTTTTAAAATTTTTCCTCAGTTTGCGCATGCGCATAGGCGCCCCTCTGTAGAAGGTGGGGGGAAACTATCACGGCGCATGCTCAGAACCACCAGGGCGAATCAATCCAATTCCTCCAACAAAAGACTTACATTTAAATGTTTGACCTGAAAATGGCCTCCGTGAGATCCTGAACTCATCTAAATGCTAAATGTAGCTTTTGTAAACACAGTGGCGGAGCTCCGCCTATGCGCACACCGCCAATGCGTAAAAAAAAATGGTGGGCAAAAAGCGGAAGCCTCGGGCAGCTTTCGAGCAGGGAGGGGGTTTAAACTGGAAGTGGCTCAACACCGCAGGAGCGATCAGAAAAGTGTGGCTAGAACTGGAGAATCAGGAAAACATCACTTGGGGACCTGGTAACAAAATACTCCATTTTAAAGGGGGTCTGAGCCGGAAAGCGACGGCTGGGGACAGTGAACGGATGTTGGGTGTGTGAACGTGGATATAAAATCCGTTACTGAAGCGTGCCGAAAGCCACTCAGTGTTCCCTCTAAGCTGAGTTAGTGTGAGCTAGCTCACAGTTTTTTAGCCCCTGGCTCACATATTTTTGTCTCAGCTCAGGAAGGAGGGCTCCAGAGCAAACTGATTCATGCAGTTGCCAAACTGCTCGCTCACAACTTTAATGCCAGGAGCTCACAAAGTAGATTGTTTGCTCACAAGACTCCACAGCTTAGAGGGAACATTGGTCACACTATATATCTCTGTACACATTACTGCTTGATTGTTAATATTCATTACAGTTGTGTATTTATGAGTGAACCTTATTCTTGTTGACCTTTTTTAATGTGCACCATCCTGTCCCTGTCAGGTTTACCTCTTTGCATCTCAGTTGTTGATTCAGGCTTAGGTGAGTTTTATACACAGGCCCAGATCTTATCCCTTCTAAATTCCCACAGGGAACGCTACTGGAGTGGGGCAGGTGGGAAATTGGGTGATAGGAAGAAATCTGGGGCCGTGTCTAGCCTTCCTCCTGAAATCTGTCACACCATGCTTTAAGATCTCTATCCTAAGCTCTGTAGCCAGATACTCCTATATTCCCTGGCTAGGCAGGTGCTTTAGAGACAGAACTTTAAGCAAAACCTTCCATAGCTGAGTTTTTGCTCTGCTTTCCTAAGCTCACTGTTTCTTTGTGAACCTGACTGAGTTGAAACTGTCTCTTCCACAGCACGCAAACATAGCAGCAAATCTGCTTTCCTTCTGGAATCATCTTCCTATATCAAGGTGTACAGCTCTCAGTGCATGCAGAATGGGGCCTGGTCTACAGGGTATTGAGAAAGTAAGATGGGCTTCAGGAATCATTTTGCTCATGGCAATGGAGGAGATAAAGAATCATCTGTCAGGATCCACAAAAATCCAGTAAATGTCCTCCTGACAATGCCCTCCTCTGTTTTTCTAGCCAAACTGGGTACTCTGGGCCCAGGTGAGATACACAAACCCTTCTGTGCTGGTGGATGTCAAGTGCTGTGAATGCCGAAAGTGCTCTACAATGCTACGGCTCCTCCTCATTCCTCCCATTTGGTTAGGCTCACCTTTCATTTGCTCCGTCCCGCACCTTACCAAGAATTTGGCAGCAGGCCTGATCCTGCACACAGATCGATTGTTACTTTAATATCCTTTCCAATCAACGCTGAGGCTAACGTTTGTTTTATTTTCAGGTGGGGTAGCCGTGTTGGTCTGAAGCAGCAAAACAAGGTTTGAGTCCAGGGGCGCCCTTAAGACCGACAAAGTTTCAGTCAAGATATAAGCTTTCATGTGTACACATACTTCTTCAGATCTGA